ATGTTGAGGGCACTGGTGGTCTTTTGTTGTTGCACAGCCTAACCAAAATAAAAAAAACAAAAACATGATCAGTGACACTGGTTTGGTTTTGTTAGAAAATGATGTACAATTTATCTATGACTCGTGTATGAAACATTGTCTGGGTAAAGTAGCCATCTCCCAGAATGAAATTGGTCATCAGTTCTCATTTTCTGAAAAACAAAACAAATTTGAGTATTTTTGTCTATATACCATACCGAACACCACACATGGTTTTATTGAGTATTCATACATACTTAAACAACATTTTCAGACTACCAATTTATCTTCAGCCACCGCTGTTGCTGTGGGTGAGGGGGTTATCATTTGAGACCGTTTACACCAAATGATTCACGAGGCAACACACTGAGCAAAGTATACACCAACAGGTATTGCGTCAATATTCACTTCATAAATGTATATGGGACAGATATTGTCACCTGTAAAACCAAATCAGTTTTTCAGGGAACTCATCATCAATGGCCAATCAGTTGCCTCCTGTACACTTTCTTGTTGTGTGCTTACGATATCAAGTGTTTCCAAGGAGAATAAGTAGCATCATGCAAGACTTCATGTACCTTGACTGGTTCATCTGGGTGCCAACCAACTGACATTCCTGGCGAGTAGAGAGGAAAGCACGCTCTTTGTTGTCCATCTGAATCCCATATCCTACATGTGAGGTCATCTCCAACTGAAGCTAATTGCTACCCTTGCGTCGGTTAAAATATCACATCATTTATATACCCAGTGTGACCGTCAAGCACCCGGAGGCTAGACAGATAGTCAATGCAAGTTTGCAAGATATCATCTAATAAGGCCATATAATGTCTTTAATGTTGTAATTTTTTTTTTGACTACTCTTGCAATTGCTGGGCATACAGGAGCATAATGCAAATTGAATTTCATAACTTTTTTGTGTATGTGTGCAAGCCGTCATTTTCGTGTGATGAATTTGTTCAAAATGTAACCAGCAACAGGAATTGCACACCCTCCATAAGCATAGGTATGGGATTGCTTTATCATTTATTTCAGCAGCTGTCAAGTTTTAACATGTTTGTTAAAACAGTTAAGGATGCACAACAGAGTGTTCTTATGATCTTTCATAAAGCGAGGTCATTTAGGCAAAAATTTCAAAAAATGTTGACTGCATTTCCTCATGTAAAATGTACAACAGCGGGAAATTGTGTAGTCCCAAAAGATTATGAATTGACCAATTACATCACAGAATTTTGATGTGGTACATGTGTTATTTACATAAACTATTCTGCTGGTCAGTCTGTATAAAATACCTTAACACTGTCATTTTTTTAAATCAGATGAAAATATTCTAAGTTGGCAATCGGCGCCAGCTGTACAAAACCTGGAACAAAAATGGAGGTATATTTTTTTTTAATGTTCATACAACAGCATTCAAGCATTTTTTTATGAATAGACCTTAGAAGTGAATGCTCGTCAAGTGTGAGAGAGCAACAAGAATTGTTTTCTCCCATTAATAGTGTTTTATTTCCTGTTGTACTTGCGTCTATCGTTCTTCTGGACCTATGTCAACATGAATGAATGGAACATTATATTAGAATTTGTGAAACGTTTTCTATAAATATAAATGTTGGCGTCGACAGTTTCCTTTATGTGGAAGCTTCGTAGTTTTTGTAGACAATGCACTTGAAAACTTGATATACTCAACTACGCGCTTGAAGGCGTTTAATATTCGGTAGGAAGCTGATATTTCAATAAGGCATCAATATTAATTATCTATTCTCGTTTTTTGTATAATTACATCAACATGGAAATAATTTGCATGTGTTTTGTCGCATTTTGTGTGGAGATTATTCAACCAAGAAAAGAAAAAAAGAACTACGACACAATCATTACTACTAATAGTGTACATAATGCACTCACATTATTTGATGAAGTAATTACATATAATATTCATATGTTCATGACTAACCAGCACTGGTATTGGTCTGGTAAGATCCCTGTAAGATGGAAACATTTAAAAAATACACCAACAAAAAGTAGGTGTAAACAATGTACTGCTCAAGTATTTATCAAAACAAGCAGAATGTAAATTTTGATGCGTAACAGTGAACTAAAGTAAGGCCCGCTTGATATGTTTTTAATTGTAATTTTAGCCAAGCTCATTTAAAATAAGTAACTATTAGCAAAAATAGAATATATATATAATATAAATTCATATACCCCGATAGTTAGTTCTACAATGCCAAAAATAATATTATTAATTTTCTAAAATTATTTTCTAAACATAGTAAAACACATTAAATGAGCTTTGCTACAACCGATATTATAAGAGATTAAGAACTTTTATTGCTCCATGCGAAATCTCATTAAAATTCAAAATGGCGGTGTAATTGTGAACTTGCTTATTTAATGTCATTAAATCGTTACATCATTGGATCAAAGCACTTCACCAAAATCCGATCAATTGTGTGATGAACCGGGATTCTGGTTATTTTGTTCTTGGGAGGGGAGTCAGGCAAATTATTGACAATGTCAAATTATGGTTGATGGTTTGAATGAGATGACAAAGTGGAATTACAACGTTAATACAAAATGATGTACCCCTTTTACTTCCTCCTCTATACCGACCAACCCCGCTCTATATTGACAAATTGGCATACATTGCTACGAACTCAAATCGGTAATAGTAAAATGAATGGTACAGAGATGTAGAATAATAATGCTGCTATAATAACGAATCGGCAATTTTCTGTTACAACAACTGACCACCAGATTACTTAAAAAATGCCGACATACATTGCTAATGGACGTTCAATTCTTATTGTAAACAGCATGGAAAAACTCACTTCATCAAAATGTATCGACTTACTCTACACAACAAAACTTTAATCGCACAGTCTATATTTCCTTTAAGTACTTCTGCATGAGGACAAAAGATTACTCCCATCACTTCATTTTATGGAAGAACAATGGCTACGACTAACGTTATGATGTCATTGGATACGGTATTTTATTCTTGTGTGTTGGCACTAAATCACGTTTGCTTGTATAATGGAACCCGTGTTATTGTACAGTAACCAAAGTTATATTACTTTGACTTCAATATGTCGGAGTTCGTTGTTACAAGTCTGTTATCAAATTTATTATCGAATCTATTATCTCATTTAGTACTTTAATTATAATTGTTGTTCACTGCCCGTCACAATATATTATAATGATATAGAAACACAGTAATCTTAAAAATACAAAATACAACGATTAAATGTGTATTTTTTTATTTTTGATAAGTTATGTTGCCATTATTTATATTTTTCACAGTATAGTGAGTGGACTAAGCTATGTCAGTTTTACTGATGATGAAAATACATTGTTTATAATGATACAAATTTGACAAGTCATTTACTTTTAGACAATTTAGAGAGTAATGGGCCTTTTTTCCCCTTTCCTGTTTCCATAGAGGAATACAAACTGTTACTTTTTCAATTGTTAGTTTCATTCATATCAATAGAATCAATTGTCCCCTTTTTTTCTAAGGTCCATGCACAGGCTTTTTTTTTCAAATAACTGAAATGTACTGATATACTTGCTTCAAACTATATACACTATATGGCGTGGTAGTAAACAACAACGTAAAAAGTGGTACGATTTCCCGTTGAGGACTTATATGTAGATACTCGGCAATCTTATCTTGTCCAGCTCATAGTGTTTATTGTTCTTGTGCTCATCTAATTACTAAAATCAGCTGTAATAACAACCATGGTGTAATGCTAATATTTGTGTTGGGTCTGTCCACCTAATAGGATTGCCTACGTATTGGCTAGTACACATTGCTATAATCAACTGGTCTACATCTGTATAAACCTCATTGTAGACCAATTTCAGATAGCTCAAGCAATTCTGACATGACAAACCAATGAGGGAGAGAGAAATGCACACGGTAAATATTCATACTATTGTTACATGTGTACACTGTACCTACTTTGTTATCCGTATATTATTATATCCACATCCGTATATCATGCTTGTTACTAAGCACGCTGTTTAAATATTGTAAATATCAAGCCATTATTTTGCCCAATCCGCAGTGGTTAGCCTAACCTATGTTGATACGAATAATTGGTAGGTCAACGTTTCTAGCGGATATTAAAATTCATCTTTTCGTCTTTCAAGCTCTAACTTGATGACTATTAGAGTATATCAGCAAGTTATTTGCTGGGTTACGTGTCGCAGTTTTTTTCGTAAATATCATGACGCTTATATCACAGTTGCTAATTATGAGTTATTGTCAATGTAAATACATCATGCTTGGTCTTCGTTTTGATCTCAGTTACTGTTGAAATACAGTACATCCACCTGAATGTGTTACACCTTTAAGTGTGCATGGACTTCTGGGAGGGAGGAAGAGAAGAATGTCAGCAAATAAAATAACTATAAACTCTGAAGTAGGCAAAAAGCGTCTTATACTATTTCACACAGCAAGAACCTGCCATTAAAATACTACAACTGTTTCTGACTCATATACTCAATATCAACAAATAAGAATTTGTCACAGTAGCCAGTGATACAAAACAGATCAATATTTATTCTGGTATACTTGGATGAATATTGATTGGACATCTATGACATAAAATAAATATCAATATACAACAGCTTTAGTCGTGATAAATGTAAGATTTCTATATTCGAAAAGTAAGTAATCGAGTCATGAAATAAAACAGGGATTTGAATGCCAATACAATGACTGATCGAACAAAAAGCCTGTCTACACTACATCCACCACCACAATTTACTTGAACTAAAAAATAAAAATCATTGACAATTGCAACTGATAACAAAATGCAATATTTTCCCAAACATTGCCTTGTTCTAATGATCGTTTTTGTTATTCATGTCTATAAAATATACGTTATTCTTTAAATTTAAATTTTAAAAAGATTAAACATTAATGAGTTAAATGAATAGTAGACTATAAAATATACATTATATAATTATTCTGGACAACATCATGCGTCAAGTGAATCATAAATGTTCTCCATAAGTTCACCATCCTGTTTGTTGATCACGTGTGACACCAACATGTTAGGATTAACATATTCTCCTGTCATATTATTTGTTGTAGTTAATTGTTGGTAGGTGTTGAATTCTACATTGTTCATATCAGTGTATTGGAGATGCGATTCATCTTCCGTCCTAGTTACTGTTGAAAGGTTGATGTTTTCTTCCTGGGTTTTCAGTGGTTTGCCTCGATTGAAACAAAATTTGCGCAGTATACAACATATCAAAACAATAGTTAAAATTCCAACCACCAAACCAATAATAAATGATACAATGTATCCCGTGCTGAGTACATTGTTTGATTTAATATTGTTCGTGGACTTTGGCGTGTATATCTTGGTGGAAGCCGTTTCATTGTATTCCATACGTGTTCTGGTTATTTCAGTGTACGGGGAAACGGAAAACGTAGTTGCATAAGATGACATTGTCCGCGGCGGAGTATGTATTTCAAGAAAACGTACTGCTGTGACAACACCTTTCCAATTTTCTGCAATACACACAAACATCCCAGCTTGCTCATTCTGTGTAGAGGAGATAAAAAGACTGCCATCTGGTTCGAGACGATATCGAGAGTTAACCTCCGAGTCAGTATCAACATAAATGCCTTTAGGGGTGATCCACTGGATATGTGGAGGTGGGGCACCATTCACATTAACAGTCAGTGTCACGGATTCATTTACCCCAACATACACCGATTCGAATGTGTTAATAACGTATGGCTCAAAACACTGAAGATCAGGCACCGTTAAATCTGTGATGCTCATTCCCGTATAATTTATCGGATATTGACAGATAAGTTGTACATTTACGTCTGTGTTAGTGTATATCCATTTCATGAATTCTTCCATGTGACAATCACATGACCAGGGGTTGCCCCAAAGTTCTAATATTTCTAACTGTGTTAGATTTTGAAAACTTGGTAAATGGTGTAGTTCATTGTTATCAACATACAGGTAACGGAGATTTGATAAATTCATTATACTGACAGGTAAATGAGAGAATTTGTTGTTTCTGATGGACATATACCATAGAATTGATGGTAGCTCTAATAGATGTGT